AAGACACACACACTCGTAAAGACACACTCACAAAAACACACACCCACAAAGACAAACACACTCACAAAGACACACCCACAAAGACACACACACTCACAAAGACACACACAAAGACACACACACTATTAAAGACACACACACCCACAAAGACACACACACACACTCACAAAGACACACACACTATTGAAGACACACACACTCACAAAGACACACACACACCCACAAAGACACACACACTATTAAAGACACACACACCCACAAAGACACACACACTTACAAAGACACACACACACACACCCACAAAGACACACACACCCACAAAGACACACACACACTCACAAAGACACCTACAAAGACACACACACTATTAAAGACACACACACCCAAAAAGACACACACACTCACAAAGACACACACACACCCACAAAGACACACACACCCACGAAGACACACACACACCCACAAAGACACACACACACACTCACAAAGACACACGCACACTCACAAAGACACACACACTCACAAAGACACACACACACACTCACAAAGACACACACCCACAAAGACACACACCCATAAAGACACACACACACTCACAAAGACACACACACTCACAAAAACACCCACCCACAAAGACAAACACACTCACAAAGACACACCCACAAAGACACACACACTCACAGAGACACACACACTATTGAAGACACACACACTCACAAAGACACACACACTATTGAAGACACACACACCCACAAAGACACACACACTCACAAAGACACACAAACTCACAAAGACACACAAACCCACAAAGACACACACACTATTAAAGACACACACACCCACAAAGACACACACACTTACAAAGACACACACACATACACCCACAAAGACACACACACCCACAAAGACACACACACACTCACAAAGACACACGCACACCCACAAAGACACACACCCACAAAGACACACACACACACACCCACAAAGACACACACCCACAAAAACACACACACCCACAAAGACACACGCACCCTCACAAAGACACATACACTCACAAAGACACACACACACAAAACACACACACTCACAAAGACACACGCACACTCACAAAGACACCCACACCCACAAAGACACACACACACCCACAAAGAGACACACACACTCACAAAGACACACACACTCACAAAGACACACGCACACTCACAAAGACACACGCACACTCACAAAGACACACACACCCACAAAGACACCCACAAAGACACACACTCACAAAGACACACACACACAAAGACACACACACTATTAAAGACACCCACACTCACCCACAAAGACACACACACTCACAAAGACACACGCACTCACAAAGACACACTCACAAAGACACATGGAAAGGCAAATACACGCACGTATATAGATACAAATGCGTACTCACAAAGTACTAAAACACAAAGATCGCCAATCATCGCATCAAACCGACACTCACTCACAAAGGCAAATAACACCCGTATAGCCTTGAACCGACTGTTGGGGCAAGTGCTGTTAGTGATCATCTATTGAGGTCAAACTACCTATTAAGGCCATACAACAGGTCCTACGTGTCTATAGAGGCATCTTGGAGTGTGTTAAGTTGCGTGTGTGTGTATCTACGTCTGTACGGAATATTGTACATATATGCGTCTATGTATGTATGCCAGTGTAAGTGTGCACCTATGTGTATATCTATGAGTATCGAAACGTGTTAAGCAAGTGTGTGAGAACGTGTTGCCTACATGTACACTGTACCGATGAGTATCTGCATGTGTTAAGCAAGTGTGTGTGCTGGCCACCCACCCCCTCGTGTGCCGTGCCGGCATTCATAGGGTCTCGCTAGCGGCACTTGCCCCAACAGTCCGTTTAGGCTATACGGGCGATCTTTGCCTTTGGTATGTGTATACCTATAAGTACCAACGCGTGAAGGAGTGGCGTCGACAACAATACGCTCGGTCGCCTTTGTCTCCCCCCAGTGGTGATATTTAAATACACCACGTTCCCATTTTGGGCTGAGTCGACCTAGCCGGAGGCCCAGAACCGAATCAGATATTCGTCACGGATGATTCCTTGGACATGAGCGGGGATCGAACTCGGGTAGCCCCGGGTTGCATAGCCCAGCGCGTCGCTCACCACCACGCTACCACTGCCCGCACAAAGACAAAGATCCCCCGTGTAGCCTGCGACAGACTGTTGGGGGCAAGTGCTGTTAGCGAGCACCTATGAAGGCCGGCACTGTGGCACAGGAAAGGGGTGAGTGGACAAACACCACGCCGGGCCAGCCGCCGATGTTTCGCTAATTCGTTACACACCGCACCAGGTACTCACTCAAGGCTGAGTCGACCTAGGGGAGGCACACACACATACACATTACAAACTCAGCGTGTTGCACCAGGGTTTCCTTGGATTGCTGTGAGGAAGCTACATGTGTACGTACGTTCGCTCGCTCTATATTCAATGGTGATTTTATATATTTTTTTATTTGTGTATAAAATTATTACTAGCTGTTTTAACTTGTAACGCTTTATATGGTAACAACACGAACGCTCTATTAAAGCCTAGTAAAAGAAGGGGGGGGGTTAAAAGGGGGCTTCCTTTTCAAAGTAAAAAAAAATATCTTGGCTTGAATGCTGCCACGGGTTTTTTTTGTTTCAGGGGTGGCTACAAAAAAAATTATTCCACCGTGAAGGTTTCCGTCTCGGGTTCTGCGAGTGAAATCGAGTGCGTGGTAAGTGCTTTTTTGGATTTCGGATTTAAGTTGTTGTGATGGAAGTAAATAAATGAAATAAACAATTGTCCAATTTTTCTTCATGTTGTATCATATTCGGTGCTTGCTATATCCTGCCTACAGCGTTGGCAGCGGTGCACGAGTACAAATAATAATAATTAACAATACATAATTAACAATTAAAAAAAACTCGACACGTACATTGGTCACAATAAATACATATTTTAATAGCACGCGGAGAGGAGTTTGTGAAGAGGCTCGCTGCCCGCAACGTCGCCTACTTATTCCGCGTTTTATTATTTTTCTTTCAGGGCCACGGTGGTCGTGACGAATTATTTGCTTCTTGTTTCGTTAATGAGTTGCTTCCCCTACCCCCCCCCCACCCCGTGTATCTACCGCGTTCGAGGCATAACGCAGAGTCAATTACCCCGCCCGTGAATGTTACACCCTGCGCTGATTGTTGGTTTGTGCCGCCGTGTTGCGTGTGAGCTGTCGCGTGTGATAGTGGTCAAGTGTAGGGGGGGGTGCGTAGCGCTACGGACCTGGCGCACCCGAGTTCGATTCCCGCTCACGGTCAACACCGGGGACGATTATCTGAACCGGTCCTGAGCCTCCCCTAGGTCGACTCAGCATAAAATGAGTAGCTGGTGCGGTGTGTAGTAAACATCGCCACTGGGGAGACAAAGGCGGTCGGGCGTGGTGCTGACCACCCACCCCCTCGTGTGCCGTTCCGGCCTTCATAGGTGCTCGCTAACAGCACTTGCCCCTACAGTCTGTTAAGGCTATACGGGGGATCTTTGTCTCTGCGTGAAAGTCTATACGATTCAGTCAACTCAAATGACATTGCATAACCGGATGCATTTAACGTAAAACAATAAATGACTTGAACATTATCACGACGTTTCGGACGACTGGTCTTCTATAAGCCAGCATTTTATTGTTATGAAAGAATACATAGGTGAAAGTTTGCAAACAATTGTTTGGTTATGCAATCTATCGTGTATTGCACGACCTGTATATACCAGTCAAATTTGCAAATACATTCAACATGTACATGATGTATATACTCTACATACAATGTACGTATACAGACACACACGCACGTATACACACACATCTAAATGAATAATCAAGCGGGGAAGCATGACCCCCCCACACCCCACCATTGCGGTGGGAAGGTGGGAGAGTCGGCCTTCATCCAGCAGTAGATTGTCGAAGGAAAGTGACACACATACATAATGTGCACAAAGCCAAAACAATACACAACAACAACATAATCATAATAATATCCGGCTATGTTAACACCGCCGCATAGGCTATCGACAGCAGCGAGAAAACAGCATCAACGCGATTCCCACGTGTTAAATGATTTGTTAGAAGATAGAGAGAGGTGGTTTGTTCCGAGGCGAAGGGGGAGAGTCGGGAGAGGCGTTGGGGGCCGTTTGGTGGATTTGGTGTTGAGGGAGGGAGGGAGACAGAGAGGAGGAGGAGAGAGGGATGAGAGATGGAGGGGAGAGCGAGAGCACACGACAGCCTCTCTCTCTCTCTCGCACACACAGCACCATCGACTCTCTCCGTATCGTCATTGATACATGACACGAGTACTTGTTCGTGTCACGTGACCCGAGGATGTGGTGGTGGTGGTATAGAGAGGACGTACGTGGTGATGGTGGTGGTTGTTGTTGTTGGTGACAATGGTGGTTGTTGATTACGTGTGTGGAGGGTGGCCCGCCTGCTTGAGTGAGTAGTGAGTTACAGATTGCGTGGCTGGTAGTGGTCGTTTTGGGAGAGATAGGCAAGGGGGATGGAGGGGGGGGTGATGGTGGAGGAAAGCGGGGGGGGCAGAGGGGGGGGGGAGACGTCAGAAGAAGGAGGAGACGTCGAGAGAGCTGAAGAAAAGTGCAAGGAAAAGTGATCTCACTCGAGCGCCTCGGAGCAAGACGAAGCGCGCGTGGAGGTGGGGGGGGCCCACGGCTGCGACCTCGGCATCAGCGTCCACCTCGCTCCGAGTCGACACGACAACAGATAGGGCGGCGAGAGAGAGAGAGAGAGCGAAGCGAGAGAGGGAGAGAGAAGGAGATAGAGCGAAGCGAGAGAGAGGGGGAGAGAGACAAACACGACTTGACGCTGTGTGTGTGTTGCTGCTGGTGGTGGTGGTCGTGGTGGGTGGGTGGGAACTCAGCCGATCGATGCTGGGGTCGCTCAATCTCGTTTATCCGGGCGCTGGGGTCCGCCTATCCCCTCACTTGATGCAAGACGGAATGGCGGCTGCAGCGGCTGCAGCAGCAGCAGCAGCTGCCGCCGAGTTCGATGAGCGAAGTGCAAACGCCTCCAGTGTCTACCTGCCCAGTTGTCCCGCGTACTACATGCAGAGTGGACACCACCACCACCACCACCATCCCCACCACCATCCTCACCACCATCACCATCCACACCACCACCACCACCGGCCAGAGCACTTCTCCCCGTATCGCGCAGCGTATGGAGGCACATCAGTCCAAGACAACCACAACCACCACCACCACCACAAGTACATTGGACGGGTCGGTGGCACAGCTAGTGCTGGCGGTGCTGCTGCTGTTGCTGCTGCTGCTGCAGGAGGTTGCGGCGGCGGTGATGGTGACGGTGGTCTGGCAATATCAGCTGTGGCTAACGGCGCTGCTGCTGGCGCTGATGGTGGTGGCGGTGGCGGTGGGAGCAGCAGCAACAACAACAGCATCAGCAACAACAGCATCAGCAGCAGCAACAACAGCGTCGCAGCAGCCAGCGACGAAGTGGCAGCGCACTCGTTCTCCGGCCACGGCCCCTCGGGGGACCTTCTGCACCCGCAGCAGCGCGCAGACTTCGCCGCACACGCGGAACTGGCGATGTTGAAGGGCGGCAGCGCCACCACCACCACCGCCGCCGCTGCGTCTGCCACGGGTGGCGGTGGTGGTGGTGGCGACCAGCTGTACAGACACTACTTCTCATCGCCGACGTCGGCACACGCCGCCTACGCGCAAGCCGCGGCCGCTGCTCATGCGGCGGCAGCGGCGGCGGCGGCGGCTTCGCGCGGAACGGGATTCTTCAGCGCGGTGGGGCGCAACGGGGTCCTGCCGCAGGGCTTCGATCAGTTCTTCGAAGCGGCGTCGTACGACGGGGTGATGGAGGGCATCGCTGCTGCTGCTGGCGGTGGTGGCGCTGGAGCGATGCAAATGCATTTGCACGATTTGAATCATTGTGGGGAGCACGGGGAGGTGGGTGGCGGTGGTCATCAGCAGCAGCAGCAGCATCATCATAAGGGGGCAGCCGAGAGAGAGGGAGGAGAGAGGAAGGGCGAGGGGGAAAGTTCGCCGGGGCACAGGAGTGGCGGTGGAGGTGGCGAAGCGGCGAGCGGGGGAGACGCGAGCCCCGCTCCGCACTCGCGAGCCGCCTCCGACACAGCGGGGACAGCGGCGCCCGCCCGTGAGTGCGCGCGTGCGAGTTGCGACTGTGGGTGGGTGTGCGTGTGTGTGTGTCTGTGTGGGTGTGGGTGTGTGTGTGCGTGGGTGTGTGGTTGTGTGTGTGTGGCTGTGTGCGTGGGTGTGTGCGTGGGTGTGTGTCTGTGTGGGTGTGTGTGTGTGTGCGTGGGTGTGTGGTTGTGTGTGTGTGGCTGTGTGCGTGGGTGTGTGCGTGGGTGTGTGTGTGTGCGTGTGGGTGTGTGTGCCTGTGTGTGTGGTGTGTGGTTGTGTGTGTGGGTGTGTGTGCGTGGGTGTGTGTGCGTGCGAGTTGCGCCTGTGGGTGTGTGTCTGTGTGTGTGTGCGTGTTGTGTGTCTGTGTGGGTGTGTGCGTGTGTGTGGCTGTGTGCGTGGGTGTGTGTGTCTGTGTGTGCGTGGGTGTGTGTGTGGTTGTGTGTATGCGTGTCTGTGTGTGCGTGGGTGTGCGTGTGGTTGTGTGTGGGTGTGTCTGTGTGGGTGTGTGGGTGTGTCTGTGTGGGCGTGTGCGTGGGTGTGGGTGGTTGTGTGTGTGGCTGTGTGCGTGGGTGTGTGTGTGGGTGTGTGTGTGTGTGCGTGTGGTTGTGTGTGGGTGTGTCTGTGTGTGTGCGTGGGTGTGTGGGTGTGTCTGTGTGGGCGTGTGCGTGGGTGTGGGTGGTTGTGTGTGTGGCTGTGTGCGTGGGTGTGTGTGTGGGTGTGTGTGTGTGTGCGTGGGTGTGTGCGTGTGGGGGCGTGTGTGTGTGCGTGGGGGTGTGTGTGGGTGTTTGCGGCTGTGTGCGTTGCCCCTACAGTTTAAGGCTATACGGGGGATCTTTGTGTGTGGCTGTGTGCGTGTGCGGCTGTGTGTGTGGCTGTGTGCATTTGGAAATGTGCGTGCGGCTGTGTGTATGTGGTTCTGTGTGTGCGTGTTGTTGGTTGTGTGCGTGTGTAGCTGTGTGATTGTGCGTGTCGTTTGTTTTGGTTGTGCATGTCTTGATTGTATGTGTGTGTATTTACGCCTGTGTGTGTGGTTGTGTGCATGTTGTGTGTGTGGTTCCGAGTGTGTTGTTGTAGTGGTTCTGTGTATATATGGTTGTGTCTCTCTGGTTGTGTGTTTGTGTGGTTGTCTTTGTGGTTGTGTGTGTGTGTGGTTGTGTGCATTTGTGTGTTGTTGTTGTAGTGGTTCTATGTATATATGGTTGTGTCTCTCTGGTTGTGTGTGTGTGTGGGTGTCTTTGTGGTTGTGTGTGTAGTTGTCTTTGTGGTTGTCTTTGTGGTTGTGTGTGTGGTTGTCTTTGTGGTTGTGTGTGTGGTTGTCTTTGTGGTTGTCTTTGTGGTTGTGTGTGGTTGTCTTTGTGGTTGTCTTTGTGGTTGTCTTTGTGGTTGTGTGTGTGGTTGTCTTTGTGGTTGTGTGTGTGGTTGTTTTTGTGGTTGTGTGTGTGGTTGTGTGTGTGTGTGGTTGTGTGTGTGGTTGTGTGTGTGGTTGTCTTTGTGGTTGTGTGTGTGGTTGTGTGTGTGGTTGTGTGTGTGGTTGTCTTTGTGGTTGTGTGTGTGGTTGTCTTTGTGGTTGTGTGTGTGGTTGTGTGTGTGGTTGTCTTTGTGGTTGTGTGTGTGGTTGTGTGTGTGGTTGTGTGTGTGGTTGTCTTTGTGGTTGTGTGTGTGGTTGTCTTTGTGATTGTGTGTGTTTGTGTGTGTGGTTGTCTTTGTGGTTGTGTGTGTGGTTGTCTTTGTGGTTGTGTGTGTGGTTGTCTTTGTGGTTGTGTGTGTGATTGTGTGTGTTTGTGTGTGTGGTTGTCTTTGTGGTTGTGTGTGTGGTTGTGTGTGTGATTTTGTGTTTGTGTGCACGTCGTTACATCGGTACTACTCGCTTGCAGCACTTGCTCCAACAGTCTATTCAGGCTATACGGGGGGTGGGTGGATCTTTGTCCTTGGTACAGTATATGTATTTGTGGTTGCGCCTGTGTGTTGTTGTTGTGGTTCTGTGTATATGTGATTGTTGTATGCTCGTCTTTGTAGTTGCGGTAATGTCGTGGTTAACGCGCCGCGCTACGAACTCAGCGAGGCGAGTTCGATTCCCGCTCACGGCCAATTCCAGTGATGATTATCTGAGCAGGTCCCAGGCCTCCCCTAGGTCGACTCAGCCTCAAATGAGCACCTCTTGCGATGTGTGAATATCGCCACTAGGGGAGACAAAGGCGGTCGAGCGTGGTGTTGGCCACCCCCTTGTGTGCGGTGCCGGCCTTCATAGGTGCTCGCTAACAGCACTTGCTTCTACAGTTTGTTAAGGCTATACGGGGGATCTTTGTGTGGTTGTGTGTGGATTTGCATCCACGATTGTGTGTGGTTCAGTGTTGTGTGTCTGAATTCTCATAATATGTGGTTGTCTATTAATGCGGTTGTGTTTAGTCGAGTGGTTGTACTGCGGTTCTGTGTATATAAGTGTGGTTGTGTGTAGTTGAGTGTGGTTGTGTGTGCATCAGTGTTATTGTCTGTAGTTGAGTGTGTGCATCAGTGTGGTTGTGGTGCGGTTGTGTGTGAATCACTGTGGTGTGTGTAGTTGAGTGTGGTTGTGTGTGCATCACTGCGGTGTGTGTAGTTGAGTGGTTGTGTGTGCATCACTGCGGTGTGTGTAGTTGAGTGTGGTTGTGTGTGCATCACTGTGGTGTGTGTAGTTGAGTGTGGTTGTGTGTGCATCACTATGGTGTGTGTGTAGTTGAGTGTGGTTGTGTGTGCATCACTATGGTGTGTGTAGTTAAGTGTGGTTGTGTGTGAATCACTGTGGTGTGTGTGTAGTTGAGTGTGGTTGTGTGTGCATCACTATGGTGTGTGTGTAGTTGAGTGTGGTTGTGTGTGCATCACTATGGTGTGTGTAAAGTGTGGTTGTGTGTGAATCACTGTGGTGTGTGTGTAGTTGAGTGTGGTTGTGTGTATCACTGCGGTGTGTGTAGTTGAATGTGGTTGTGTGTGCATCACTATGGTGTGTGTAGTTAAGTGTGGTTGTGTGTGAATCACTGTGGTGTGTGTGTAGTTGAGTGTGGTTGTGTGTGCATCAATGTTGTGTCTAGTTGAGCGATCCCGGGTTCGATTCCCGCTCAGGGCCAACGCGAGTAACGATTATTTGAACCGGTTCTGGGCCTCCCCTAGGTCGACTCGGCTTAAAATGAGTTTCCTGGTGTATAAACATCGCTACTGGGGAGACAAAGGCGGGCGTGGTGTTGGCCACCCACTCGCTCGGGTGCTGTGCCGGCCTTCATAAGCGCTTGCTAACAGCACTTTCCCATACAGTCTGTAAAGGCTATATGGGGATCTTTGTATGAAGTTGAATGTGCCAATGTAGTAATGTTGCGTGCGGTTGAGTGTTATCACTTATGTGAGTGGTTATGATCTGTTTGTTGTGTACGTGGTTATGTATCACTGTATTTGATTTCGTGTTCATGGGTCTGTGAATGTGTGGCTCTGTATGTATGTATGTTGAACTTCTTTCGCACCGTACGTAGCCAACCGTGTGCCATAGTGTATACGTGGCTGTGTATGGTTGCGCATCTGGGAGTTTATGTTGTGTATAGCGCTAATGCGCGCATTTTGTGTGTGTGTTTAGCTCGTGTGTGTAGTTGTGTGTGTTTATGCATGTGGTGTGTCTGTGTGCATGCCTATATCTGTGTGTGCGCGCGATTGTGTGGTTGCTTACCGTCCTATGTGTAGGTTGTAAGTTTGTTTGCACGAGCGTGTGATTGTCACTGTAGTGTTAGGTTGTAGATGTGTGTGGTTGTCATTTGGTGGAGTGTGAGGTTGTGGTCATATGGGTGTGGTTGTGTGTGTGTGTGACGGGGATGGTTCAGTGTGCGTGCATATGTACGTGTGACATTCTAAGTATTTATTGCAGCTGGTCGGCTACGTACGGAGCGACAGAAGTTTAACACACACGAATATACACACGTGCGTGTAGTCGTGTCATTGTCTGAGCGGATCTGTGAACATGCAATTGTGTGTAGTTGTGTCTGTGAGTGTGTGGTTATGTGTGTGCAGCCATGTGAGTGGTGGTTGTGTGTGACTATAGTTGCGTGCGCAGGTGTGGTTGTGTGTTTGATTATATGTCTACGTGTTTGTACACATATATATAATTGTGTGGTTATATGTGTGTCTGTATATATGGCGCAGTGGTTAGCGCGCTGCGCTACGAACCCGGCGACCCGAGTTCGATTCCCGCTCACGGTCACCAACACCACCAGTGACGATAATTTGAACCGGTCCTGGGCCTCCTCTAGGTCGACTCAGCCTCAAATGATTACTGGGGAGACAAAGGCAGCCGGGCGTGGTGCTGGCCACCCAACCCCCTCGTGTCCCGCGCCGGCCTTCATAAGTGCTCGCAAACACTACTTTCCCCGAAAGGATGTTAAGGATATACGGGGGATCTCTGTATTTATTTATGTATATATGTATGAATGAGGGATATTATAAATACACTTAGTAACTATGTACGCGTGTGTATTTATGTGTATACCTGTGAGTAGCTAGCCGTGTAAACTATATATTTGTCTGTCATTATAGAAGCTTTACTCGTTGTCTAAACGCATGTGTGTGTGTGCTTAAGTGATACTCGCTAGCTAACAAGTATCTGTGGCTACACGGGGAATGATACGCGGGGAGTGGTGGCGCAGTAGTTGGCGCACTGCCTACCCACCTACCTACCACAGCTGAGTTAAATTGCCGACCGGAGCTGAGAGAGCGAATTATATCGGAACTGATCCTGGGCCTTCTACAGGCCGACTCGCATTTAAACGAGTACCTGGCGCAGTGCGGTGTGAGTTTCGGCGCTGGGAATACAAAGGCGGCCGGGCGTGGTTCACACTCAGACTACAGACGTGGCGTGGCTCGGTGGTAACAGCTTTGCTCTGACTGTCTAGTTCTTTCTGTAGGGGATATATGTCCGTATATACGTTATATATTTCTGTGCATATTTACGCCCGCGTAAATAACTAACTAACACAAGTGACGATTAACTGAATCCGGTGC